TTAGTTACAATCTTCCATTAATATTAATTAACATCTTTAACATTTCTTTTCAATTAAATATCATACTATACTTCCTTAGGAACACTTATAATATTTCCATATTTTTTTCATATTTCTCTTCACATATTTTTTTATAAATCATTAATAATAATTAAAATGTTACCATCCTTTCCTAATTTCATTTTCTCATTCTCTTTATTTCATTTATTAACAAACATTCCATTACATTACAATAAGTATTTTATCTATCACTTTAATCACACTTGTTTCATATTTTCTAAATTCATTTCTATTTCTAAAATAACAATGCTATCTTATATACCCTTGCAGAATCCTCTCTTTCAGTTAATTTTCACCCATTATCTCTATGTCGTCTAAATAGGCTTATACCTTTAATCCTTGCATGTTTTCCCTGTTTCTCTATATCCCGTTTCTGTCCTTTATAACTTCTTTTCTTTTCCTTCTTCCCCTTCTTCTTCTCCCTCCCCTTTTTGACCCCTTGTATCTCTAATTCTAATTCTCTCTTCTGTAATGCTTTCTTCTGTTTCTTCCTAATATCGTAATTGTTTTCAAACTGTTCTTTTTTTGGTTGTTTTTTCAGATCTTAAATTTTTCACTCTTTCCCCCCTTTCCTCCCCCACCACATAGAATTACTTGATCATTAAAGATGGCTTCTTCTTTGTCCCACCCTTCTTGTTCTTCAAGCATTTCTTGTTGTTTCTCATAGTTCAAGATCTCCATTTGTGCTGTCCCAGCCAGTCTATGGGAGCTGGATAGTGACATAGGAATTGTGAGCTGTCCCCTTAAGGGAATACATCATGGTAAATGTAGTTAAAGGTATCCTGGGAAATGTAGTTCATGTCACATGGCCACATCTGCAGTCCTGATTGGTCACTAAATTGACGCTTGAAGGGTTTAGGGAGGTTTCCTCCATTCTTGCCTGGACTCATGAACTGATAAGCAGCTTATCGCTACGAGATGGGTTAGGAAAATAACCATCTTTTATCTGCAAGGCTGATATACAAAGGATTGGTCATTATAGAAGAATTTCATCACAAATGTGAATCATGAAGATACCTGATGTACCAATAAATATACTTTGTTATGGATGTTTTGTGGAATTATCTATCTGCATCTGCACAGCTACAAATCCACCTCTGTGCATGAGACAGGAAACCATTTCTAAAAATTGAAATATGAAGCCAAAAAAATCTCTTCCTTCTTGTGCATTTTCTTTCTGTATTTTAAGTTCCATTTTTGGGTTCTTCCAAAGAGTGATGCCATTTTAAACACTTTTAAACAATCACCCGATTGATTTTAGTCATTTAAATCCAATAATCAAAAATCCAAAAATCACCAAGTAATCCAAATAATCCAAAGCTGTTTCTTCTTGTTTCTTGTTTCCACTTTCTCTTCCTGGGGTTCTGTTATCTTGTTATAAAGTTTCAGTTAAAAGGTATCTTTTAGGAATCTTGTTAAAGTTTCACTGTTAATTCCTTTTACTTCCAGGTGATCTCTATTTTTTCAGATCCCACCCTTCTGTTTTTTCCTTTTCTCTCCTTTCCATCTTTTAAAAGTTTTTGAATATCCAAAAATCTTTATTATCCCTTTGGCATTTTATTTTTAGCTTAAATGCCTATTAATGTCAAAGTGAATTTTTTCCAATTTCTTACTTAAGTCACTTAGCTGTCAATATGGGGAAGGAAAGAAAAAACCCCAAATCTTTTCCCTTCCCTCTCTCCTTCACCGCTTCAAAAATCTTCTTTGGGAACAATGTTATTCTTTATAGTTCAAATTCCAGGGTACGTTATGTTGTTGCTTTTTCAGTTCAACCCAGTCAGTCAAAACTTTCTCTTCTTATCTTCCTCCTGCACAATCTTTTCCGGTCGGGTTCTTCTTTGAGGTGGCCATTTCTGACCACCACTGCAACTGCCTTTGGGAAAGGGAGTAATGGCCAGCTGAGGAGGAGAGGTGCGGCTCTCCTCAACCCTGCTGGCAGTCTCCCTCCTCTTCACCTCTATGGGGTGGTTTTTGTCCTGAATCCAGCCAACTCGGGGCGCTCCAGCAGCGAGCATGGATCGAAACCGTGCACAATCGCAGATTTCAATCTGTTGCCAAAGAAGCCCAAAATCAGAAGCAAGCCAACCTCTTGTTCCTTACTGATATCATAAATGTCAGGATACTTTCAGATAAATGTTTCTTTATATTCCTACTTAAACCATGTTTAATTCTTTAATGAATAGGTTAAAGAGATTAAAACAAGGATTCAAGACAAAGATTTAGAAAAGACAACTTTAGAATAAAAGTTTCACTTACCATACAGTTATAACAGCAGAAGTTCCAAATAAATAAGAGTTGCTTAGTAGGTGGAACATGTCCTTTAAAAAAAACATATACCTGCAATAAAATTCTGCTTCATTCTGTCTGTGATGTATTTGGCACCCATCATAACCCTTTGATCTGTGATCTTCTGATTCTCTTCCTGCGTCATTTCAAATTGTTCAAGTCTTATTTTTGTCCTTTATGTGGGCATTCATTTACTCTGCTATAATTTGTTCTACCAAAACTGAGGAGAAGAATGTGTTTGCTGCACATAGGAGTAAAAAGTGTTGCATCCTTTATCATTAAAATAATGTGCAGTTTGACACCAAATCTTACCTAGTCCAATTTTCTAAATGTTGCTAGACAAATGTGTTGCAGAAGCATGCAGCATTGGCAAAAGTCATTCCTGAATGATTTATTTAGTGTGCTAATTAGAGAAATATACTACATCTAAACAGGGAAATTCTATTGTGACTGACTTGCAAAGAAAAAATTCAAGAAAATTAGCTCACTTTTCCCTCTGTCATCTGTGGACCAGAACTGCATTTCCAGAAGCAAACATTAAACTCTATTGTACACATTTCTGACAATTAACAAAGATGTGGTGAGAATTGGAACTGTTCTCAGAACAATTTCTCAGATTCTTTAATCTTCTGTTTCTTGGGAGATTTCATTGTAGCTTATACCTTACTCAGTTTACTTATCTCAAAGCAGTTTGATGTACACAGTGCATATTTCAAATTGATGTAGCAGTGTTAGTTGCTATTCCAAAGTTAATTACTAGATAATGAATGCAAGCAACTTTAGAGATAGATACTGTAGATAGATAGATAGATAGATAGATAGATAGATAGATAGATAGTTTCCATTTAGATTAAAAGGGCATTACCACCTGATAACACAATCTTTTTAATAAAAAAATAATTTCTGCATACTTTCCCCAGATGAATACTATTTTTTAAATTGCTTTGTAGGAAAGCTGGACTCCACTCTATAAACTTGATCTATGTTTCATTTGTTTTCAGAGTGGAGGAGGCAGTTGTGTCTACTTATTTTCCAGTTGTCCATCCAGTCATGATTGCAGTCTGCTGTTTTCTGATCATTATTGGAATGCTGGGGTATTGTGGAACAGTAAAAAGAAACCTTTTCTTGCTTGTATGGGTAAGATTTCTTTTTATTCATTGATGTGTCATTTAATGTTCAATTGAAGAAATGTTCTGTGTATGTGTGTGTATGTGTGTGTTTTAAAAAATAACTTGTTAATGGTCATTGCCATTAAAAACAAGTGCCCTAGTCTTAGAGGTTTTAGAGGTTCAAGGATCTGCCTAAGTTTCATAAAACATGCTAGGGGTATGCTCCAATAGCCAGAGGGTTCAAGATGTTTAATGTCTGAAAATCTACAACATTCAAAGCCCAACATTTTGCCCTTTCAAATCTTCTGGTCCCCACCTCCCATCTAAGAAGAGCCCAATGATTTGGTCTACGTGCATTGCAATGAGCTATGAAAGGCATGCTGATAGCCAACCTGTGGACTAAGCCAGTGGCCCCCAACCTTTTTTGTACCACAGCTTGGTACTGGCATCACAGAATGATCCATGGCCCGGTACCGGCATCAGCATGCATGATCAAGGCAAGGTGAGCCAAGCGACTGGCCAGCCAGCCGTCCCCCACTTCTCCCCGCCATCTTCAACTCCTCCTTTGTACCTTCTTGCGGTCGATGGGCTTTTCGGGCTCTTTCTTAATCTCCTCCTGAGTAACACGAGACTCCACCGCCATCAAAACGGCTCTTTGTTTGAAGCCGCCCCCCCCTTCGATGAAACTAAGGCGCAAGGATTCCTTCAGCACCCAAGCGCCGCTTTCCAACCGATGACCGGCAAGCTCACCCGGAAGCACTTTCTCAAGCGCCGTCGAAACAAGATGGCGGCGCCCAAGCAAAATAGGCGGCCCGGTACAAAATGATCCATGGACCGGTACTGGTCCGGGGCCCGGTGGTTGGGGACCACTGGACTAAGCCATGTTCTGTATTCACAATTCAGATTTTACCAAGGCAGGGACCAGCGTACAGGAATAAGATTTATTTATTTGTATTTATTTATATCTCCTTTAAAGAGGAACTCTGAGCGATGTACAACAAAATGTCAGAACACAAAAACAGTATGCAAAAATTAAAATGTTAGAATTACCATTTCAAGATTATTTTTTTTAGAAGGAGACAAGAATGATTAAGATCCGTTAGAAATTAATCAAACGGGCAAAGGGAGGGCTATCAGGCCACCAATCAATCCCACGACTGCATGCTTCTTTGGGTTTCCCATATGAAGCTACGGAGCATGTTTTAACTTCTTTTCAGGAGGTCAGAAGAGCGGGGGGCCTGCCTCACCTCCAGGGGGAGAATGCTCCACAGGGTGGTGGGGCAACAGATTATCAGACTGTTACCAGGGCCCATAAAGTCTGAGTGAGTTCATTGCTCAATCTCAAAATTCAGTTAGCCTCGCTTGCCCTCCATGTTCTTTAGCTGGGGCGCACTAAGCAAGAACAGTAATGAAACTAGAAAACAGCACCAATGTGCTTGCATTTGATTTACTCTTTTCTTTGGTCAGCAATGCATGCTGAAAAAGATCTTTAAAATAGTAGTTGATTACAAACAAAGTAAGAGTAAGAGGGTTTGCTGGCTGCAAAAGAAGAAGAAGAAGGAGAAGGAGGAGGAGGAGGAGGAGAAGGAGAAGGAGAAGGAGAAGGAGAAGAAGAAGAAGAAGAAGAAGAAGAAGAAGAAGAAGAAGAAGAAG